AATGTAATAATCTGAACAATAAAGATTTAATTTAAAAATAAATAAATAAATAAATAAATAAATAAATAATAGCCTTGTTAAAAAAAAATCAATTTATAAATGAATTTGGTAATTCTAGAACTTTACCTGTGAAATGAATTCAGACTTCTTATTCAAATTTGTGTACATGATCAAATGTATAATGATTCAAAAATATAGGGAGCACATGTTTTACATAACACACAGTGCATACAAATAGAAGAAAAGTTATACAGAATAGGAATCAGTGTGGGGTGGGCCAATTAAAGAAAGGACGGGTTTCTGTTGGTGTGGAAGGAGAAGAGGAAAGAGAGCAAATGGGAAAAAGAAAACAGTGTAGTGGATGTTGGACTGATATCGTCTGGATTTCTATTTCAGTTTCAAAACGTACTGATTGAATGAGTGAGTTATCTCACCTCCAATCTTAACCCCCAAACCACCTTAGACCCAGAGAACATAGCGCGATCCTTGCAAAATCGAGTGAGCCTTGGAGTCTCCAAGTCTCAGGTTTTTTCATGTATAAGATGAGGCTACTATTAGGGTTGTTGTGAGGATTACATTAAATAAGATATTGTATTTAAAATACTCGGAATGATTTTTGGAAAGTGGTAAGTGCTCAATCAGGTATTTTTGTTATTCTCACTCCCACCACTCCTCCTCCTGCTGGTTATCCTTAACCACATCTGTGCCGGAGCCTCACAACCACAAACACTCATCTCCATTTCGCTCAGTGGTCAGCAGCCAGAAGTGGTTCAGGACCCAGTGCAGTCTTAAGAGCATGGGCCATTAATTCAAAAAGATCTTGGTTCAAGTCCTATGTCATCACTTATTAGGTGTGTGATTTTGACCAATTATTTAACAATATGTGAGTAATAATACTTCCTTCAGAGAAGTGTTGTTCCTCCCAGAACAGAAGTAGAGCTGTTTTGAGTACGACATGTGACAAGGCGTGTAAAAGCATCTGGCACATAGTACATACTCAGCAAAGGGAAGCTGGCCTTGACCCTGGGTGGTGGTGGGGGGGGCGGGGTGGGCATGACTTGGGCCTCACTGGTTCCCTTTGGCCTCAGATCAAGGAGTTGTTGAAGAAGGTGGAGCAGCTTTCAGAGGAAGTCCTAGCAGTTCGGGGAGAAAATGCTCGCCTTGCCTCGCAGCTGCGGGTATGTTTTGTCCCTTAGGGAAATGGTCACGGCTAGAGAAGAGGGTGGACAGGGGAAGTGATGTGGGAGAATTCTGGGAATTGCAGAGAATTCAGGCAGTGGTCCAGGCTGGGCTAGTGAGTGGTCGAGGGAGACCATCTGGCCCAGCTGACCACTTAATTTTATTGTTCCTCATGCTTGGGGGTCAGGGTGAGTATGGGAGGGTGGGCACATAACCCCCATTGATGCTCACCCTCAGGATTCTCAGAAGAACCATGAAGAGATCATCTCTACCTATAGAAACCATCTACTGAGTGCTGCTCAGGTGAGCAAGGGGGCGGGAGGCACAGAGAGTTGGGTGGGGAGTACTGCATTTGGGGTCCCTTTTCTTACCCACACATATTTGTCATTTCCCGGAAAGCCAGCCTTTAGATGTTCTAGTGCCAGGTCTCTGGCTCTCCTGAGACATGGGACTGTGAGAGGGAGAGGTGTTTGTCCCCCCTTTTCTTTTTTTAAAAATATATTTTATTGATTTTTATTCTAGTGCCAGGTCTCTGGCTCTCCTGAGATATGGGACTGTGAGGGGGAGAGGTGTTTGTCCCCCCTTTTCTTTTTTTTTTAAATATATTTTATTGATTTTTTTACAGAGAGGAAGGGAGAGGGATAGAGAGTTAGAAATATCGATGAGAGAGAAACATCAATCAGCTGCCTCTACTTGGGGATGTGCCCATAACCAAGGTACATGCCCTTGACCGGAATCGAACCTGGGACCCTTCAGTCTGCAGGCTGACGCTCTATCCACTGAGCCAAACCGGTTAGGGCTGTCCCCCCTTTTCAATTCCTGATCCATGGTAAAGCCTTTTCCTGTCCCTTATGCCCTTTCTCAATTCCCTCCTAGGCCTGTGTATCCCTCACCAAGGAAGGGGAGGTGGGGGGCTCGCTCCTCTATTAGGACTAATAACTACAAAGGATCTAACACTTCCTGTGCACAGGAAGCTTTGCCTCAGATTCAGGGTTGCAACCCTCACAGCAGGCCTGAAAAGTAAACATCGTTGCTTTCCTTGAAAAGATTAGGAAACATCCTTGAAGTTAAATACTGTTTAAGTGAGGGCTCATCGTTAGCAAACAGCATTTCACCATTCCTCAGGGCCTCTCCCTCACCTGTCTCCCCATTTTCTGTTCTTCTCCTCCCTTTCTTTCTTTCCTCCCACCCCCAGGGCTACATGGAACAAGATGTGTACAATACCCTGCTGCGAATCCTCAGCAGGCAGGAGAAGAGGGGCAGCGGCAGCCCTGAGGGGTCCGGGATTCCTCTCCTGTGAGTTGTGGGTGAGGCTGATGAGGGCAGGAGCTTGGAGAAAGGACTGGGGAAAGGAGGCTTCTGATGGGAACTGGAGTCTCCGTTTGCTCCAAGTGGTGGCTGACACTGGGGAGTCCTGTGCCACTGAGCATCTGAAGTGAGGTTCACTGAGAAGTCACAATAATGGGCATCACTGGGTGGAGTCAGGAATCCGTGTGTGAAGGGGCTGACCTGGGATGGGGACTGAGAAGGGGAGTTGACTCTTTCACGGTCTGGGGTAGGGAGATACCAGTAAACGATGAGTGATGGTGGGAGAGTGGTACATGGTTGTTTCCTAGGGGAGGACTCTACAAACGGCAGAATCTCTCCTTCATCCCCACACCATGCATTCAAAGAATGGTCTTCTCTCATACTGCTCCCCACCCCTATGCCGACGGCCATCTTCCCCAGCCCAGAGCGAGGAGGAGCCCCTTTAGCATCTTGGCATGGGCGGGAGGAGACCGAGGATATGGAAGTGTGTGCATTTCATCCTTGACTTTCTTCTTGCAGGGAATAAGAGCACCCCTGGTTGCCAGAGGCTCCATCAGGCTGTAGTGGGTGGGAGGTTGGCCATTAGGGATAGTGTGGGTAAGCTTCGCCTGACATGAGGGAGCCCAGACCTGAGAATCGGAACCCTGCAATCAGCATGGATGAAACCAGAGGAGGTACGGATCTGATCGAAGCCAGCTCTGTAACAAATAAAGCAGGGGGCAATACGATACTGGGTGTCATTGTTTTTCTGTTTAAGGTGGGGGCAGGAATCTTTTTCATCATAAATGGCTCCATAAGCCAGCAGCTTTTAAACTTTATGGTCCACAGTTAGAAATACATTTTACATCCTGTGTGGACATACCGGAAATAGTATGTCTCCTTACTATTTCTGTTCTAGCCTATTCTCTGCTATTATTCTCCACTGAAAAAATACTGGTCAAAATACATCCACTAATGGGTCAAGACAGTGTGAAAAGCAGCCCTCTGTGCAAATGGGGATGGACACCCTTCCTTTGTCTTCCACAAATCCGTCTCGGACTGACCAACAGCTCTAATCGCGTTCTGCCTCGGGACTCCCGAGTCCACTGTTTGTCGAGGAGCCTTTGGGAGGCGTGGATTTTCTGAGATGTGTAACCTAAAATATCCTATCATGTGCTAAGCCATGGGTTTAGGTTGGAAGCACATGGTCTCATGTGGTCAGTGTTCTCTGCCCCGGGAGCAAAGAGGGATGAAAAGTCTGATTCCAGGGAGAGGGATGAAGGGACACTCAGAGTTGGCTTCTTCCCTGAGGTTCTGTTCCCAGACTGAAAAAAATGCCTCTCTCTTGGCCACTTCCCATGGTCTCCTCTCCTTCCTGTTTGTCCAGTAGCCAAATTGCTAGGTGAGAATGAGGCAGCGAAGCCCTCCAAAACCTGGAATTTTGGCTTGGTGCCCCCCAGAAGGATCCCTCTCCATTTCTTTTCTCAGCCTGCCCCTGCTGGAGTATGTGGGGGTGGGGGTGGGGTGTCAGCCTACAGTGGTTTGGCAGTAAGGAGACTGACTGGGTTGAGAAAAGAGTGGGGAGGGGCTGCGATGGAAGACGGGGCCCACACAGGGCTGCTCTGTCTGGCTGCAGGTTTGGCCAGGAAAAGAGCAGTGTAGGTCAGGCCCTAGAGAAGGTGAGGGTCAGCTGTGGGGTTCGTGTGGCTGGGCTCAGGACTGCTTTAAGGCTGGGAGAATGGAGACGAGAAGGACTGATGTAGAAAGGGAAAAGGAGGTGCAGCTGCCAAGAGGAAGAGCATGAAAAAGGTCCAAATCATTTCTATGAAGGGGAACCTCCTTCCTGCTTTCAGAGAACAGACAAGAACTATTACATATCTTATGTCATAAGGGGTGTGGGTGGGAAAAATGAAACTGCAGAGAGAAGGGTCCAGAGAGGGGGAAATCATTTGACTACGTTCAAGGATGAGTCAGGAAACAGCTTTGGTAATGGCAGCCAGACCTTCAGCTCCCTCTGGGGCTCCTAGAAGCTTATCCCAGAATGGTTGAGTTATAGGAATGGTCATAATGTGTGTGTGTGTGTGTGTGTGTGTGTTTATATATATTGTTTTTTTTACAGAGAGGAAGGGAGAGGGATAGAGAGTTAGAAACATCAATGAGAAACATCAATCAGCTGCCTCCTGCACACTCCCTACTGGGGATGTGCCCACAACCAAGGTACATGCCCTTGACCAGAATCGACCCCTGGCACCCTTCAGTCCGCAGGCCAACGCTCTATCCACTGAGCCAAACCGGTTAGGGCCATAATGTTAAGGTTAACACAAAAGTGGAACTTTCCCCAATAACCCTACCACCCCATGAACTGCTATCCCAACAACCCAGGCCCTGAAATTCTTGATTTCATAAATAAATCTTTCTCAAAGTAACTGTAGTCCTACTGTCCTTTCTTCCTGGGCCCTCCATTTAATGGCACTTCTGTAGGGGCTTATACTCTTCTTTCACTTCCCCTCGCCCCCCCAGTTTTCTGATGTAGGAGTTTATGGGTGAAGCTTGGTAGGCCATGATGGGGCCCGGATGTCTTTGAATACCCTCAATATGGAACCTGGTCCTGATTTGCAGTTTCCCTCCTTTGTCTGGTAACATTAATTTATTATACTTATATTTAAAGAGTCTACTACCTACCAGGCACTGAAGACGGAGAGTGAAAGCACCAAAAAGGTTCTTGTGCCCATGGAGCTGGCATGTAGGATCAGATTCAGGTGCCCTGGGTCCCAGTTTTCTAGTGTCCTGTGAGGATGCTAGGACTTATAACCCCAAATAAGCTATTAAAGGAGACCCCTCCTTTATGAAATCACCAGGAATGAAGGTGAGGTTAACTTTTTTCTTTTATATTTTTACAGCTTTAACGAGGTATAACTGACATACATTAATTGCATGTACTTACAGTGTACAATTTGATAAGTTTTGACATATGTATCTACCCATGAAATCATCACACAATCAAGGTAATGAACATATCCGTCACTCCCAAAGAGTTCCCGTCTCTTTTAAAATCCTCACCGGAGGATGTTTTCCACTGATTTTAGAGAGAGGGAGGAAGGGAGGGAGGGAGGGAGGGAAGGAGGGAGGGAGGAGGGGAGCGAGGGGGGGAGGGGCACATGAGGGAGCATGGACTGCCTCTGGACCTCTCTTTTTTTACTTCTCCCTATCCTCCTCCTTTTGAGATCAGTGAAAATTCTAGAAGATACAAATTAGTTCATAGTAAGTTTTGATCTCTAGAGGCATGAACAAAAAATGAGCTTATGGCCTGATGAAGGCTCCAGTGTTGGAGTGAGTAGTTGGAATTAGGAACCAAATACTTGAACGTGAGTTTAGCTTGAAGTCCCACCATTCCTGGCAGCAAAGAAGCAAGGAAAGTCTGGCTGGCGTGGCTCAGTGGTTGAGCGTGGACCTATGATCCAGGAGGTCATGGTTCAATTCCCGGTCAGGGCATATGCCTGGGTTGTGGGCTTGATCCCCAGTAGGGGGTGTGCAGGAGGCAGTTGATCAATGATTCTCATCATTGATGTTTCTCTGTCTCTCTCTCTCTCTCCCTTCCTCTCTGAAATCAATAAAATATTAAAAAAAAAAAAAGAAGGAAAGAACCCAAGATGTCAGATGAAAGTGGACATCTTCCCTAGGGACAAAATCCATAAGTAGTTGGGCATGATCCAGTCCAACAGGTCCCTGGGACATCGGTAGGGAGGCTGGCATCTGCAGGCCTACAGCTCGGATGGTCTCGTGGGGAGGAGTACACTGAAGGCTTAAGCTGGATGAATTATTTATTAAAGCACTTTCTGTATGCTGATTATAGGTTTAACTGTCTTGTCACTCACTGCTGCTACACTGCAAGGCTTTCAAGTCTCAGCACCTAACAGTCTCTGAACAGCATTCAAATATTTGTCGACCAAATACATTATCATTTAGATCCCAGCCAACTAACTATAAGATGCCGTATTTGCGGCCACTACCTGTTTGGGTGCTTTGATGATTTATGCATGTGCGTGGTTAGCTCGGTGGGGAATGAAATGGGGAGTCTGCCAAGTCCAAGGCTTTGGAAGAAGGAAAGAAAGCAGCTGAGAGAGACAGGAAGATGTCTTTTCTGGGAGGTAAGAAAACTTCCCCTCTTCCCCTTCAGCAACCCCGAAGGTGTGGGGTCTCGGGTGTCCTTGGGGCGGAGGGTAGGAGGCCACAGGTAGAGCGAGGGCTTAGGTGCGCTTTGGCTTCTAGCAGCCCAGGCTTTTCCTCCAGGGTCTCATCCAAGTGGGAACCTCTCCCTGCAGTCAGATCCCGGGTCCACGGTTTCATGCCCAGCCGGCCCCCTCCCAGCGCCCGGGCCGGAGCAGAAACCAGAACGCCGAGGTCCGAGCCGGCCGCTCTGCAGACCCGCTCCCCGGAGGAGTTAACTT